CAGGCAGAAAAGTGTCATTAAAGAGACCAAAACAAAACAAAAAAAGTCATTTTTCAGATACATTCCTCTATCAAACATTAAATAAAAAATTACTGAGGGAAGAATGATTTTTCTGCAAAATAACCCTAACTCATGATCTTTCCCAGAAAGGTCCTTTAAATTTCATATACCATATGCATATGAGTTACAGTAGAAAAAAATAATATGACTTATATTGGTTATTGATTCCTATAGCATATCATAGGATTAAATAATTCAAAGTAAAAAGCATTTACTAAATCCTTTCTATGAGTTCTATGCTACGCTAGCATCAAATACATACAAGATACAGCCTCTCCCTCCAAAAAAACTTACTATGCAGTTAAGAAACCACATACTTATGAAACAAAAGCAGTGGAAAGCAGTCATGATTGGATACTTAAGTGTTAAGAGTTCAGGTAAGAGATCATTGTAGCCCAGAATATCTGGGGAGGTTTTGTTGACTATCCAGGGCTTGAGTTTTTCTAAAGAAGATGAGTAAGAGGAAGGGGGCATTTCAGAAAGACAGAGACACAGTAGCAAAGACAAAGTGCTAAAACACCAAAATCTATTCACTAGACAGAAAATAGCTAAGCCTAAATAAAATAGGCTTAAATAAACTTTTAGTAAAATAAAGGAAAATCATTTCAGATAAGGAACATGTGGTTAGATAATGGAAGACTTTGAAACCAACCATCGAATAGGGCAAATGGACGACTACCTCATACCATCACCCCAACACACGTACACAAAAAAAATAGGATTTGTCATTAAAGAGACCAAAACAAAACAAAAAAAGTCATTTCTCAGATACATTCCTCTATCAAACATTAAATAAAAAATTACTGAGGGAAGAATGATTTTTTCTGCAAAATAACCCTAACTCATGATCTTTCCCAGAAAGGTCCTTTAAATTTCATATACCATATATAAAATGTAAGATATATATATATCTTAAATTTGAAGGGTTCTAATATGTATTAGAGCAGAAAATGTACTCTAGATGATTCAAGTGTCTAAATTACCACAGTTAAAACACAAGGCAATTCCATAAAATAGATTGCTCTGGTTCCCCAAACAAGACTGAACTGACTTGGGACTCTTTACCTTGAAATCTCTGAGGCTTGCTGGCATTTTCAAAGTCACAAATCTTTTTCCAGTTATCCTTCACCACCTCAGGAGACACTGGCTGATTCCTCTGTCTTACAATGGCTCCAAGGGTCCGCTCCCAGCGTACTGGTTATAGAAACAAAACTATACTGAGCACATAGTTTAAGTGGGAGACAGAAAGTAAAATTCATAAGAGCTGCTTAAATTTTTTTAACCGAAAAAAAGGAAATTCAGAAAATGGCTTTTAACCTCTAAAGAGTTTTACTACATCCCTTAAAATGAGTTTTTCCTAATATAACAAACTCTTTAGGATAATATCAACTTAAAAATATATATATTTGAAACTGAAGGGAAAAATTTTTGACTATGCCAGATACTAACTGAAAGTAGAATGAAATGCTGAATCAGAAGAAGTTACATTATATATTATCATGCCAAAAAAACTGACTTCATGACTGCAGATCACTTGAGGAATATACTTCAAGATAACAGAATAGAGCTTGGTTGGAATAAACTGAAGAATAGTGGTGATAAGAGGTCAAAAATTCCAGGTAACCAAATTAGTCTATCAAATAGTCCTAAAGAACTCTCCCTTGTCCTTCCTTTGCTCCTCCTCATTTTCCATAGAAAGTCAACTAAAATGTGCAGAAATCATTATCACTGCACAAGTTCCACAAGAATTAACATTGTTTTCCTTTTTAAAATCTTGAGAAATAAATAACCACTAGTAACCTTAAACATAATGATCAGACTTTAATGTTTATTAAGTTGAAGATATATCTTGGAGAATGACAGAAACGCCTACTTCTAGAACTTTCCTATTGAGTCCCAGCTATAGCTTTTATTGAAACAATTGATCTTCCTTTCTTAAAGTGGTATCATAAGACCCTTAAAAATGCTTGAGTAATATATTACTTTAATAACTGGAGAAAACAGATGAAATTACTGATACTCTACAATATGTTACAACGATGCCTTCCAGTAATGGCAATCTTTTAAATAATTCAATTAGTTTTGATACCAATAGCCAACTGAAAACATGAATTAGAATACTGGAATTTTCACAATTTTTAAAAAATGCTTTAAAGCAATTATCCAATTTTGGAGGTCACACAGTTAGGGCTGGAGTAGGAGAGGGTTGAAGCCAAATGAATTTACTATCGGGCTGAAGGGGAATAATTTCCACAGATCAGTTGCAATTTCTGTCCCAGAAAACTGTCCAATGTGATTCTTCACTGTCTCTTCTTGATGTCTCATGCTCCAAGATATAAAAGAATTAAATGAGAGAACTAGAGAATTTGCCTGCTGTGTTCTTCCCATATTTTTAAAAACAGCCCTCCCTCCCACTCACTTCTCTGTGGAAACAGTAAGAACAAGCATGTGTGATGCCAAAGACATGGGAAGACAAACATGAATCTAAATACAGACTGTGCTGACTTAAGGAATAGTCAGTTCTGAATAAGATAGAGCAAGTCCTGAATAAGGACTGCTAACAGAAAGAAAATTATACAGATTCTTGAAAATGCCATAGGCCTCCAGGAAAACATCCATGTTTTAGAATACTTGTTGGTATAATGTTTTTATTTGAATATGCGTGTACTAGATCCAATAGTTAGACAAATGACAAGATCATTCCCCAGCTCTAATTGGATATGCAGGTTTAAAGATATGGAAATAATGTATGGCAAACCAAAAACCAAAAGAGACTTACATTTTCCAATCCATCCTCCCGCAACCTACCAAAAAGAGGGGAAGAAATTTATACCATCTAATGTGAAATCACTAACAGATGTTTTTAAATTAAAAAAAAACAGGCAATCTTAGTAAGAATAACAGAAGGCTAGATGACAATGTAAGAAAATAACACAACTCTACAAAAGTCCATTGGCCCCCATGACTGCACAGTTCATGTTATCAGAGTAGAACTATAAAACAGCACAATGTAGTAGAAAAGCATGATTCTGATGTCGGAAACCAAAGTTTGATATGAAGTATTCTACTGACTAGCTGTGTGACTCTGGTCAAATTATTTGACTTCTCTAAATCCAAGTTTTCTCTTATGTAAAATAAGGATAATAACACACTCTTCATGACGTAACCATGAAAGTTAAACAATAAAAATAGTTTAAATGCCTAGCACATCACAGGCTCAAAATACATGTCCTTCTAAAAAGACCTAGTGAATAAAAAAATTAAAAGAAAAATAAAACCAGAATTTGACTTAATAAGCTAAATGTAGTCATTTTAATGAAACATCTACATAAAGATAAAGCAAACGACCAAATACGTTAACTACCACATAGAAAGGTAAATTTTTTTTCTAGAGATCATTCAAAGATATCCTCAGAAGAAAATGTCTGATGTAGTTTGTCATATCTTTAAAGACCACCAGAACAGCGTGCCAGAACTTATACAAGAATTCCACGTACATATGACAGAAGAAAATTAGCAGACAGCACACATCTTAGTGGCTATAGGCTCAAGGCTATGGCTTTTTAATCACCATTTGCCTTTATGTTAAAATGCCCACACCTGTTATAAAAGACCAATCAGCCTTGATGCTGTCACAATAGATAAATCAGCAATGGTTTTGATAACAGGCAAGAGAGATATCGTCTACCATATTTTAGGAGTGAAGCTGCAAGGTCCTCTCAGGTACAAGAAACAACAGCTTCAGCTGAGCCAAAAAAATCTATATTTGCCACTCTAGTTATATAGCAGAAGTTTGCAAACAAGATAGTAATTTACTTTCAAGGTTTAACTCAGGAGATTACACATATATCTCTTACTATATTTTATCAATCATGCATATCAAATGTTCCTCACTAAAAATGTTCGCAATATAGTAAAAAAGAAAAACATATAAAACTTCATTTACACATGATCCTAATTATTTACCTTTGAGTGTGTGTATAAAATATGTATCTAAAAAAAGCCTATTCATGGAAAATGCACATCTAATAAAAGACTGGAAGAGAATACATAAAAATATTAATAGTAGTTATCTCTAAATAATGGTAATGTGGGTGATTTTTATTTTCTTCTATATACTTTCCTGTATATTTAAAGTTTTCTATGAAAAGTACATATTTTGGTTGACAGAACTAATAATAAATATAATTATGGAAGATAAAAAGCTTTTTTAAAAAATTCCCTAACGAGATAAAAGACAGGCCAAATTTTGAGCTTCAGATGGCATGATAAAATTAAATTTTCCTCTTCTGTAAATTTGAGTTGTAAAGTTATTTCCACTTCTAAATTTCTACAATTTACACTCAATGGCTTTGATTAAGAATGTAGAGGCACATATCTCTGCTTATACATGTGCAGATTGTTTTTTATTTGCTTATCAGCTTTTTATTCAATAAATCAGGCTAATATATCATTCATTTCAAACGGAACCAGGTTATTTTGCTACCAAGAAATGTTTAAGGATATCACAGCATTCTTCATAGAACAGGTTAATTATTACCACAGATAATCAAATAAGGGAGGAGGTTTTAATTATAATAGTTTGTGCTACAAAAAAAGAGATCTAACTCAAACGAGGAGTCAAAAATGTACAAACTGGCATACAGAGATCTAAAAGGACTTTGACTGTAGTAAAAATTGGGTCTCACATGATGGTGGGATTATGTGTGATTTTTGTATTTACAATAAACATTTCAAGTTTTGCAACAAGGAAAAATATAATTTATTTTTAAAGTTAAGATAAATAATAAGTTGTGTTTATTGATCTATCATACCCAGACTAAATTCTTGCTATACTGCTATTATATTTTAAATTGAGGAGTGACTGCTATGTACTAGGTCCAATGCTAAGTAAGAGTTTAAAAATATGATTTCTAGTTGTCATAACAAAAGCCCAAGAAAACTAAAACTCAGGAAGATTAATCTGCACAAAATTCCAGCAAGCTAGCAAATACCAGAACGAGAATTCAAAATCTGGCCTGGCTGACTCTCAACCCTAAGCTCATCCTTCTACTTCACCAGCGAGCTTCTCAAACCAAATGATACTTTCTATATTTGACTAAACACATCAAACCAGCCACAATTTTCATTTCGTAAGAATATTAGAAACGAAGAACTAAATAAAAACAGAATTTATGAAGCTGCTGCTACTTTCTCAAAGAAGAACATTAGTCAACACTTGTTCCTTAATTATAACATAACCATGATATTTTAAAAATATGAAGTGATGTCAACTGATGCAGAGTTTTACAAATGTGAGCAACTGGAAAATACTAATTTTTAAATCACCTTTTATATTTAATTACACAAATATTACTTTGGGAGAAAGTGGGAAATTATAGAATACCTCAAACAAGCCACCATTTTCATCACAACTCTCGTGGCAAAGCCAAAGAACCAGAGGTGCCACATAATCCGGCTTCAGAGCTTTCAGAATATCTGAAATAAATACCCAAAAAAGTTTTTTTTAAACAAGTATACTTATTTAATCAATTATTTTACTTTCTGAAAATATCTTAGAAAATTATAGATAATTCAGAGATATTTTTTAAAAATAAGAACAAAAATAAATATACATGATTAATTAATCTAACATCCAAGGCTTTTCAAAGAATTATTTTCATCACAATGGAGACATTCCTAAAGCTTTTTCAAGCTTCTAACATTGAATACATCAGACATACCTTTCCAAGATAGGTAAGATACTAGTCAGGAGAAGATAAGTTATAGCTGCCTAGGCAAAGACTGGTGAACAAAGCTATACAAAACATGAGGAACTCAGGTACCATTCATTTCCAAAATTATTTTGTACTCCCAGCTATTTCACCAAAAGCTACAAAAACAAAAAACAAACAAACAAAGCCTTGATAATTGTAATGGCAGTAAGATAATGATGTGAAATGGACCCTGCAACCATTAATGATGAGTAACAAAGCGTAAAAAATATTTTCTCATTGCATCTTTTCTGTGAGAAACTTAATAGAGCAGAAAGGTACTACATAAGGAGTAAGAAGACCTGGATTTTACTGCTAGCGCTACCACGCAGGCAACTTAGGACACTGTGAGCACATCACTTCGTTCTCCTGGATCTGTATCTTCATCACTAAGATGGTAAGTAAAATGCTTCCCCTGCCTACTCTGTCAAGTTGTTCCATGGCTCAAATGAAATTGAATTTGTTAATATACTTTATAATCTTTAAAGAATCAAATAATTGCAAATTTAGTTGTAAAATGACAAAACTTAATTTGTATTAATATGCAAAAGTAACGAAGATGACTTTTACAGTCTCTGTAAATTAAAGAGCAGCTCCAAAAACTTTTCACTTTAAAGCCTCTAAAAACTCTTAGATATGCAAAAAATCTAATGGTACACTGTTCCCCACTCTCTATTATAAGCATGAGGAGAAAACTAAAGGGATATTCCAACCATTTCAAATTATATGATAAAACAAATTCTTAATCTATATACTATTCATCTAAATACATAACATTCCGTGAATGTCCTTTATATATCAATTGCAAAATGGAATGTTAAAGGATATTTATATAGAGATTCAGATGAGTTGACTAACTTTATAGTACTGAATGCAACAATAAATACATCTAAGAAATCCAACTCAACATCTATTAGGTGAGAAAAAAGAAGAAAAGAACAAAGTCACATAGGAAAAATACTTCTACTTCCATCTTATTTCATATATTGTCACTTATAGTTAAGCAACATTTTACAGCATCCAGCTTGGTTTCTCCTGAATTTCACCTCATGCGCCTTTCCCCTTTGCTTAGTTTAATCAGTATCTTTTCACTGTAAAAGACCATTACCGTGAGTATAACAGCTTTGTCTGAGTTCAGTGAATTCTCCTAGAGCATCATAAAGCCTGAGGGTCATCTTGAAGACCCCCAACACAAGCAGAGATCAGTGAGAACTCTGTAACCACTGGTTGGATGTTAAACTGGCTTAACCCATTTGAAACTAATTTAGAATTATCTCAAGTTTAGCATTTGTATATTCTATAACTCAGCAATTTTACTTCTAAGTATGCACTCTAGAAAATTCTGTACAAAAAAAGCAAATAAACTGGACACAAACCCAAATGTCCATTTATGAATTAGATAAATTCACATAACGAGTAAAAATGAGTGAACTACAGCTATACATAACATAAATTAATCTTACATATATAGCATAAAGTGGAAAAAGCAAAAAGCAATCACCCCCAAAAAAGCAGTATATTTCATGAGGATCAAAAACATGTAAACCAAAAATAAAGGGTTTAGCCATGTATTTATTACTTTTTGAAGAAAGGTTAAGGAAATGAAAACCAATTACTTTATTTAAGTGATTACATCTTGAGGGAAACAAGAGGTTTGTGATGAAAAGAAAGATAAATACAAGTCACTGGTAATGCCCCAGTTTTAGGGCTGCATGACAGCTAGTCTTCAGGATGGCCCAAGTGATCTCCATCTCCTCTTATTTACCCCTTTTTGCAGTCTCTTCCTACAATGTAATACAGTTGGTCTTTGCAAACAACAGAATAGGGCAGAAGTGACAGTATGTCACTTCTGAAATTAAAAGATAATGCAACTTCCGTCTTGGTGGCTGTTTCTCTCTTTCAAATTATTAGCTCTGAGGGAAGCCAGCTGTCATATCAAGAGTAGTCCTATGGAGAAGCCCACACGGTGAGACACTGAGGCCTCTAGACAACAGTTAGGAAGGAATGGAGGCCTCCTGCCAACTTTCATGTTCATTTTATGAGCTTGGAAGTGGATACTCCAACCCAGACAAGCTTCCAAATAACTGGAATCCCAGCAAACATCTTCATTAGAGATCCAGAATCAGAACTTCCGAGCTAAGCCATTGAAAATTCCAGACCCTGCAAACTGTGAGAGATAGTACATGTCTGTTGTTTCAAACCACTAAGTTTTAGAGTAATTTCTATGGCAGTAAATAACTAATACTTAGGAAGTTAGTTCATGGAGATCCAGTCTAGAATTATGTTTCATTTCTTATAAGAAACATGTAAATTACATACATTACTTTCCATTTATCAAATATATTTCAAAGAGGAAAAGGAAACTGCAAATGTCTCCACACATTCATAATATCTGGCTTTTTTCCTTTGATAGCTTGTAAGTGGATATTTCAAAGGAAGAGAACTCGGGGGAAAAATAAGTTTTCAGCTTTTTCTTAGCTATAAAATATAAAAACTAAAATAGGTGTCCAAGATGACAGCATAGAAAGACCTTGAACTCACCTCCTCCCACTAACACACTGAATATACACCTACAAATAGGGCTGACTGAACAGCTTCTACATAACAAATGATGGAAAGGTCACACAGACAAGGGTAGGAAATACAGAGACATCGTAACAATGAGAACCCCATCCCCAACACGGTGACTTGCAGGAGGGGTATCAATGAGGAGCCCATGTACAGACTCACCCGCGTTGGGGCCCAGCAAAAAAAATAGCTGTTTAAAGGGCACCTAGGCTATATGTGAATGACATCCATTTACAAACCCAAGAGTATCTGCCAAACAGGTGCGGAACTGCTGGAACTCTCCCCAGGATCAGAGGTAGGTACCAAGAAGCATCATTTTTTATGTTACCCCTCCAACACCAACAGTGTAGGCAGGAGCAAAGTCCAGGCACTTCAGCTGGCCAGCCAAGGCCTTCCAGTGCACCCCAAGATCCTGGTCCACACCAGCTCCAGTAATCCTCCAAAGAAGGCCCCAGTGCAGTGTCCTGAGACCCCACCCCCACCAACTATACCTGATTCAGCCATCCTGCCAGGATAGAAGTGGCAAGTCATGTCCCCGGACACTCCCATCCCACACCTCCTCCATGTCTAGCCATCCTGCCAAGGCAGCACCGGCGCAATACTCCCCAGCTCTAGCTGTTCTACCAAGGCGACCCCAATGCAGCATACTCTGGGACCCCAGGCCCACACTCACTTCGGCTCCAGCCATCTTACCAAAGTGACCCCAGCATAACATGTCCAAGGACACCTGGACCGACACCTGCTCCAGCTCCAGCTATCCCACTAGGACATTCTCAGCACAGAGCACTCCGAGACACACCCCAACCCATGCCCACTCCAGCTTCAGCCATCCCACCAAGATAAATCCAACACAGCGCATCCTGGGACTCCCAACAGCCAGCTCCAGTTCCAGCCGGCCTTCAAAAACAACCTGGCATACAGAGATCACTCCAATACAAGGCCACTCTTCAAGACCAGAGAGGTAGCTGTTTCACCCAATACACAGACACAAACCCAGAAAGTCAAAATGAGGAGATAGAGAAATACATTCCAAATAAAAGAACAAAACAAAACCCTAAACAAAAACGCTGATGAAATGAAGATATGCAATTTACCTGATAAAGAGTTCAAAGTAATGGTCATAAAGATGCTCCCTGAATGTAGAAGAATGGAAAACACAGTGAGAACGTCAACAAAGAGAAAACATTAAGAAAGAACCAACCAGAGCTGAAAAAAACAACTGAAATTAAAAAAAAAAAAAAAAAAAATAGAGGGAGTCAGCAGTAGATTAATTGACAGAAGAATGCATCAGCAATCTGAAAGGCAGAATAGTATAAATCACCCAATCGGAACAGCAAAAAAAAAAAAAAAAAAATTTAATGAGGATAATTTAAGGGACCTCTAGGACAGTATCAAGTTTACTAACACTCACATTATAGAGGTCCTAGAAGGAGACAGAAGAAAAAAGGGGTGGATAACTTATTCGAAGAAATAATGACTGAAAACTTCCTTAACCTGGGGAAGGAAACAGACATCCAAGTTCGAAAAGCATAGAGAGTCCGAAGCAACATGAACCTAAGGAGATGTATGCCAAGACATATTATTATAAAATGGCAAAATTTAAAAATAAAAAGAGAATCTTAAAAGTAACAAGAGAAAAACAATTTGTCACATACAAGAGAAACTCCATAAGACCATGAGCTAATTTTGCAGTAGAAACTTTGCAGGCTAGAAGAGAGTGGAAGAGTAAAAATATAGTGCTTGGAATGTGTTTAAACTTAAGTGACCATCATCTTAAAATATACTGCTATGCATATAGGTAGATATATATGAACCTTATGGTAAACACAAATCTACAATAGATATACAAAAAATAAAGAGAAAGAACTCAAACATAACACTAAAGAAAACCATCCAACCATAAGGGAAAAGACCAAAGAAAGAAGAAAGGGAACAGAGAATGACAAAACAACCAAAAACAACTTTTAAAATGACAATAAGTATATACCTATCAATAACTATTTATAAAGAGACTAAATTATCCGATCTGAAGACATATGGTGGCTGAATGGATTTAAAAAAAAAAAAAAAAAAGAAGACCCATCCATATGCTGCCTATAAGAGACTCACTTTTAATAGAAAGACACATAGAGACTGGAAATGAAGGGATGGAAAAAGATATTCTACGCAAATGGAAACAAAAAGAAAGTTGGGATAGCAATACTCATAACAGACAAAACAGACTTTAAAACAAAGACTGTAATATAAGACAAAATAAGGGCATTACATGATGCTATAGAGGTCGATCCTTGAGGATATAGGTTTTATAAACATAAATGCATCCAACACAGGAGCAACTACCTATATAAAGCAAATACAGGCATAAAGGGAGAAACTGACAGTAATAATAGAAAGGGAGACTTAATAGATATATACAAAATATTTCATCCCAATATTGCAGCATACACAATCTTTTCAAGTGCACATGGAACATTCTCTAGGATGGATCACGTTTGGCCACAAAATAAGTCTTGATAAATTCAAGAACCCTGAAATCATATCAAGCATTATTTCTGACTACAAAATTATAAAACTAGAAATCAATTACAAGAAGAAACTGGGAAAAAACATAAACATGGAGACTATAAAACGTGCTATTAAACAACCAATAGGTCAACAGTCTATTAATTTTAAAAAATAATTATTATAGAACAGCAAGAATGCTGTTATCTCATTCTGTAAAATAAAAAGTTAAGTAGGTATATATGTATGTCTACCTATACAGAGAAAAAATGAAAGTTTATCTTAGCATGGTAGAATTATGGGTTATTTTTTTACTTTTCCCTTGTACTTTTCGAAATTTTCTCCAATGAACACAAATTATACATAGTTTTTTTAAATGGAAAGAAAAATAATTTCTTAACTATTCAGAAAATTAAATACTTTTGCAAAGCTCACTTGACACAGATTTGTGGGTAACAGCCCTGAAAAATCTAAGCTACTTACCTTCAGAGAATAAACTCTGGGTCATCCTTGATCGAGCCGCTGGAGCAATAGTGTTACAATGAATGTTGTTTTTCGCGCCTTCAATTGCAAGACTATTTGCAAGGCCCAGAAGACCTAGTTTTGCAGCACTATAATTTGCCTGGCCAAAGTTGCCATATAGTCCTGAAGCTGATGAAGTCATAATGATCCTAAAAAGAAAACCAATCCCTCATCATCTTTTCTATGTTTAGATAATGTTACAACTCTAAGACTTTTTTTTTTCAGTACTATTACACCTGTCAAAAGCAAGTCTGTATACTGTCACTAGTTTCTTAATGTTATGATTCATATATCTAAAATAATAATAATAATAATAATAAAAGTAATCTTCTAAAATTCAACTACAAGATTTACCTGTTTTAAAATGAATCTCTGGTCAGAACCAAATGAATTCAAGTGTAAGAACATACATTCATTATCTACTGAAAACAACAATATTTATAAACATAAACTGGCAATACATGTTAAAATTTTAGTAAGAAATATTAGATAAAGCCATTCTAATTCTTTAGTCATCACTTTGCCCCTCCTTCCTTTCTGGATAATATTAAATGCCTCACATTAAAATAATGCCATCTCATAATATGACCCAATCTCACTCACTTTACCTAGTAGAAGTAAAATAAATTATATTGTTGCAGAAATGTTGCAGAAAAAAAATCAGACCAGCGAGAAACCAAGTACCACTCAGAAAGTAGAAAACTCAGGTTTATTATGCAGGTGGTCCCAGAAGAGCTAGTGCTCTGAAGATCTGGGCCCGGAGCTCAAGGGCAACCTTGCTTTTATGGGGCTCGTCCGTGTAGTTACAGTTGGCCAGGTGGCATGGGCCAATTGGTTAATTTGTCCTCAGGCAGTTTAAGAGAGCAGGAGTTGCTATGGGTTACAGGCAGTCACAAAGAGTTACAAAGCGCAAGAATTTCAGACAGGAACTTATTAGGCAATACATTTGTTATCTAGACAGAACAAGCAAAGGGAGGATGAGTCTTTAGTTAATTTAGAGGTCACCCTGCCTTTCAGCCTATGCGGCAAGCATACCTCCAGAAGCAGAATAAAGAGCTGATTACAAGGCTAGCCTTTAGAGTAGAAAATTCCTCTTCAATAGCATTTACTTTTGGAAGCTGCTAGGATCAAGATAAACTAGAAATCTCCAATAAGAAGAGGTATCACAAAAGATTTACTTTTGATAAATATGTGTGAACCTTAACTTAAAAAGAATGACCTTGACATTAGAGTGCATAGAGCCACTTACTACCTCTACCATATTCTGAGTCACTGACATAGACACAACCATAAGAGTCCTACAATTTCTAAACAATTTGTAAAGACTAATTCATGTCTAACATGTACCAGCTAGCAGGAAACAGCCACTCATCTCTCACAGTTGGTCAATGGATACACGAAATGATATTTTGGTTACAGAATTAACTACAGCTAAATCCTCAATGTTTGTACTGCTGAAATATCAGAGAACGGCAAGGAAAATTATAATAACAAAAAGCAGGATGTGAAAAGAAATATAAAGCTGTCCAGCTCAGCTAATCTATAACTAAAAGACCAATTTAATGAGAGGGTATGTGCCAAAACCATATTTAAAAAGCCTATGCATATATGATGTTTTCCTCAATGTCAAAGCAATTATCATGCATTCCCTGCACCTAAGAACCCACACACAACATCTCTAATATCCCTTGAAAGCCAAATGCAACTCTACCTTCCAAACTTCTGTTTCTTCATGTGATCCCATGCTGCCCGGGTCACTTGGAATGAACCCCGCAAATGAATTCTATGGACTATATCTAAAACAAGAAATTATTGTTACATTTTATCAAAAATTCAGATAGGCATATCTCAGAATCAACATAAGCAATGATTTACTTATAAACATATGTTCATTTTATATCTAACATTCATAATGAACTACTGTCACACTGCTCTCTAAGTAATTACTTTTGCTTTTGTTCCAATTATGAAACCAATCAATAGTTCTACTCATTTTCCTTATAATTTATGATAAAATTATTGAAATACCTGTACATATCTAAATATAAAGCCATCTTTAACTTATGCCTACTTTATATAAAAATTCACTAATACAAATATCGAAGAATTTTACATACATATTTGGGACTCAACACAAATTAATTAAAGCATAATCATAAACCACACAGTTCATCAAGAAATATTTACTAAATGCTCAGTATATCCCTATTTTTCCCAGAGTTTTAAATTGGGGGATGGGAA